GAGAGAGAGAGAGAGGAGGAGGAAGAAGAAGAAGAAGGGGGAGGAGGGGGGGAGTTACATCAAAGGCCAAAACCATAGATAACCAACTGCCTTTGTTACATATTCCTAGCAAAATAGAGAAAGATGCAATTAATGGGAATATAGGGCTCGTGTGTTTGATTCTGCATGTCATGGCCTCCATTTGCTAAATTGTATATTCAAGAGAGCAGGTGTAACTTTTTAGTGTGTCATCTAGTCTAACCATTTTATTGTAATTGAAAGAAGCAAAAGAACCAATATCCTTGAAAACAAGCTTCAGCTCTCACAAAAACAGAATTTCAGCAGTTTCAACTAACCACGAATATGGACACTCACTACCTCCATCTGTGTGTGGATGCGCCAGTTTTGTCATGGAATGTAGCTTTTTACAAATTACAAGTTTGTTTCTTTATATATTTAATACGCAAAGCACTTCTCTTTATATGCAACACTAAGGATTTTCTTTATCCATCTCCTCCCCAGATTCTGATGGTCATGAGTCTGTCAGTCTTTTTTGACTGATACAAATCCTACCATTTTCCATTCGTGTAATAAACTATGCCATTTTATCTCAGGCCGTTGTCCAATTGTTTCACTAAATATTCATTGCGTGTGAAAAGCACAATTGTAGACTATAATTTGGAATTTTAAGTAAAACATTACAGAGTACCATGCAGATACCATTTTACACTATGTAGAAAAATTCAGACTTAACAAAACAACAGATCAGTTAAATCTGGAAATGGAAATCCAAATGGGGAAACCATGTCAAAAGCCACTTTATCAGAGCTCCTAATTATTTAAATTCAACCATCTAAGAAGGAACATATTTGAACTGGATTACTAGAAAAGGGTGGTAATCAACAACACCACCATAGTTTACAAGAAAAAGAAATCAGACAAGGAGTCATACTATTGGAGGTCAGCAACCGATGCCAATAACTCAAAACAAATGTATACGTAACAATGAGAAAATTCAGCTATAAAAAGTTTTATTAGACAAAAAGTTATTCATATGGGAATGAGGCAAAACCAAATAACCTGGAGAAAAAAATCAGTTATAAAGTGCCGTGCATGAAATATCTAAAACTGAGTGAACCCATCTGAGAAATACATCATCTTTGGGTGGACCACCAATCTATTATTATATGGCAAGAAGGAAAGGAAAAATAAAACATTCACATAAAAAGGAGAGAAAAAAATTGATTGATAAACAATTCAATGAAACAATTGAAAAGTACCATAAAAAAGAACATGTATCTATCATACTGGCACAAGATCATAGCCAAAATACCAGGGAGAAAGACAAGAAAGAATGAAAGAATGTAAGGGAAACAAAAGAAAAAAGGATTGAAAGATCAAAGAGAAAAACATCAGAAAGATTAATGAGTTAACATGAACTGCTCAACCTACAGCTTTATCAAGGCAGCAAATGAGAGGAAGACACAAGATGAGGGAACGAATAGAATAGCCCACATTCAAGATTCCATTTAAAAGTGAACCAATTACCTGTATGACATTTCGGTGGTAGAGGTGAGAGAGAAGAGTGACCTCTCTGTTAAACTGCTTCTCCAAACGAGCAGCCAATACTCCATTTTCGTCATCATCAGGTTGCCTAATTACCTTAACAGCAACAGGTTGATCCTTGTAAATGCCATGGTAGAGTCGACTGTGAGCCCCAGATGCAAACCTTAGGCCTAAAAACAACTTCGACAAATCCACCATCCATTCTTGAGCAGTCTCTACAGCTGTAACTCTCCCTCCTCCATGATCAAAGTACTTAGCCCATGAATTTTCCTTTCGATTCTTGGATTTCTTCTCATTGTTTTTAATAGGTGACCATGATTGGAGAGGAGAATTAAATGGAGACAAAGAATCAGATATTTTGGGTGAAAACCAGTTGCTATGACTCTTATCTAGACTATTTCTCCTAGGTCCAGGAGTCGAAGATCTCACTTTCTTCTCGTGTTTGGCTTCTTTAAAGGCATCAGAAAGAATGCTCTGAGGTATAGGGGAGAGAGATCTGGTCTTATTATTCTTCCAGTTGTGCTTGTTTTGACCAAAATCGAACTTAATTTTGCTATTCAAAGGCTGTTTATGTTTAATATCTTTATCTTTTTTCTCTGAAGGTTGCAAGATGCGTTTTGAGTCTTTTTTCTCTGAAGGTTGAGAGATGGGTTTTGAAGTTGCAGGTTCTTTTGTGAATTGACCCAAAAATGGATCAGGTTTAATAATTGGGTAATCGGGTCTCAGGATTGGGAGTGATGCAAACCTAGAAGCATCAAATCTATGACAAACAGTATTGGAATATTTGACCCTTCTTACCCAAGAGCTATTTTCTTCAACCATCTTGTAGAAAGCACTAAACAAATAATAGAAACCCTAAGAAGCAACAGTTTTAGCTAAGAAGATCTCAAAAAGGACCAGAAATGCTTAAGACACTTGAAAATGGAAGAACACAATTCTCCTAAATCTAACAAAGGAAACCCAGTTCAGTGCCAGCTAAGAAACCCTTAAAACACCATAACACCCTAAAAACCATAAAAATATTGCTCCTGAAAATTGAAATCCAGATAAGGAAAACCAATCTCTTTAATCGTGACAAAAGGGAATTCAGTTATTGGGTCCTCGAAAAACCCATCAAAAACCATTGGATCGACAGAAACAGAAACCCCATTTCTGCAAACTTTGATAAACCACCAAATTTTTTCACAAAAGCTTCAAAACCCAGTTTTTCACATTCCTGCAATTAAGGATCTTAACTGAACCCTATAAAAAATATTGGATTCCTGCAATTCTTTAACAACCTTTAAATCACAGCAAGAAGACGCTGATTCCATCTAAGCAAAAAACTCATAGACCGTCCTATCCCAAAACCCATCAAAAACATCAAAAATCCAGACTATAGACCCCAGTTTCACATCCATTAAACCATCTACCAACTTAAATCTCATAGTCACGAAATCTTTCAAACCCTAAAAACCCACCCATGAATCAAAAGGAATGTAAAAAAAAACAACAAAAAATAATCCCAAATAGCCAAATCTTAATCCAAACAAAAGAAAAAGAAAGTAAAAAAGAGAGAGAACTCAATGTTTCTCCACCAATCGGGTGAAAAACCAATCACTTCCACAACCACCATAAAAACGAAAAACAAGAAATAAGAAACAAAAAACAAAACAAAATTATGACTACTCAACCCCAAAGACCAAAAGAACCCACATCATCTAAAACCCAAATAAGAGAGAGAAAGAGATAGAGATGATAGATAGATAGATAGATAGCGAGAGAGAGAGAGAGAGAGTTTAATCTGACATTGACCTGAAATCTATCGGTCCAGAAACACCTAAAACTACAGCTTTTTTTCTCAACAAATCTCGGATCCGAAAGAGAAAGGTGAGCACCTAACGTAGCTCCCTGCACATACCTACGAATTCCGGCGCTCTGGACTATAAAAATATACGAAAATAGGTATAACAAACCTTGTAAATGAGAAAGCCCTGTGCTCTTCTACGCCATGAAAAGCTCTGCAACAGCTTTGCCAAAAAGCAAAGAAAAACAAAACAAATTCTAAGGTTCAATGAATGGGTACGGCTCCGCATTACCGGCCTCCACGTACATATACCGTATACATTATAAACACAGTATGCGGCTCCTCAAATCTGAATTACTCTATATATCCTCTTCTTTTTAATAAATCGCAAGAACACCCAAGTGTCCCTTTCTTTTTAAAGATATTCTTGTTGACTGTAAAAGAGTCTGATATACCCCTGGAGTGAGCCTCATATATCGAGGAGAAATAGGAGGAGAGTGCTTGGGTTGAGGGATATAATAGGAATAAAGGGGTGTTTATGGTATTTTGAGGAACATTGGGGTGGATCTGACGTTTTAGGAGAAGATTGGGGCGTTAGTGGTCATTTTTAGAAATAAAAGTCAAAGGAGGCTGGTGGAATTAAAAAAAGGGGAATGAAGAAATCTGTTTCAAAGATACGATGGACGAAATGAACCTTGGATTTCCGCAAATACTTGCTTCATCCGTACAGTCCGTACGTTAAAGAGTTCCGGAAAAGCCCCTGACAGTTTTTAGGATTATCGGGGAAGATCCTTAGTGGCAAGGGGTAGTGGGATATTTGGTACTTTCCCGAAATAGCGGAATGTAGCCCTGGTACGCCGATCGCTTTTTAGAAAGGATCCAACGGTGTACTATTTTTGAAAGAAAAATGCCCTTTTGGATTTCCATATGATGGAAGATTTAACGGTTACGATCTTCACATAGAGGAGTAATCATCAAGTTATTCAAACTTCATTTATATTTCGTTTCTTTTTTGTTGTCATTGGTTTTCAGTTGCCATTGGTTTATATACGAATAAATTTCCAAATGAAAATGTCGTGTTTTTAGTTTTTCAAAAATTGAAAATTAGATAATTTCAGTTTTTCAAAAACTGATAATTGGAATTAAGTTACGTTTTTTTTTTTTTTGTTGAGAGAGGAAACCTAATTTCGATTTTTGAAAAACCCAATTAAGTTACTTTTCGGTTTTAAATCGAAAAAGCTTATTTTTCGTTTAAATATTTTGGTTTTGAAAATTGAAAAAGCTTATTTTTCGTTTATATATTTTGGTTTTGAAAATCGAAAAATCTTATTTTTTAAAATATTTGGTTTTTTTTTAAGTGAAAAGGAAAGTTCTATTTTTGTAAGAGAAAAATGTTATGAAGTTGAAAATTTGGGTATACATGTAATAACAAAAACTTCGCAGTAATTCCGTAATAATATTAAATATAGTGGATATATGTTATTTTTTCTATTTTTTAATATTTTTATAGGCATATGTAATGGTGAGCAATATGAACATACAAAATTTTAGCTTAATTCAATGTATCAAAAAATAAACTAGTTCAATGCAAAATACGAACTATATAAAACAACTTATATAATTCAAAATTACGTAAATTTCCCACTTGATTTTATGCAAAGAATTTTAAACAAACTTTAATAGAATGATTATTACATTAAAAACAATAGGCCAATTCCATATACATGTAATTAAATAATTTTTTTTTATTTTCACTAGCTTCCATTTTCTAAAAATTAGCCCGTGTCAAAGAAATTATGCCTACCATAAATTGTGAATATCCTTTTCGATGGAAACACCTCCATAGAATTTGGGAAAGGAGCTGAGGTTGTAGTGGTAACACCTTGGCATCTTAATCACGGCCGGCATATTAATCACGGCCTTCTGGCTTCCATTCTCATCACTAACACCACCATACAAATGCCTTCAAAAAGCTAAATCCTAATTTACTTAAAACAAACAGGAGGGCCTCTCTTTCCCACTAAAAAAAACACCTCCATTAAAAAAACTGCACAAAATCTTTTCCATAACAGGATAGTTTTTCTCTATATTCTCATACACAATTATTATCTCCAACCCTTACCACTCTTTATACGGGGCCAAAAGATTACGGGTTCTCGAGGAAGCATTTCAACCGTTCACTACGTGGGGGAAAATCCTATCTGGTCGTACCTTTTGGACCACAAAATTTGAGGATATAACTCCTCAATTGAGCGATCAGCTTAAAAAAGACAGCCAAGTTTTGTACTTGTCTCAAAAAATAATGCTCTCAGACTGAACAAAGATTATCCAATTAATCTAAACTGTCCTTTTTGTATTTTCCTCAAAAAAATAATGCTCTAAGACTGAACAAGGATTATCCAATTAATCTAAACAGTTACATTTAAGTATCAAAAACCAAAATTTTCTTTTCAGAATTTGAGAATAATTTTAATTAAAGATTACATATTATTTTGGAAATAGAGAAAAAACGTATTTTATTTTTGAAATTTAAAGATAATCTCCAACATTTTTTATTTACCTCAAGTTCCATTTTCTTAAAGTGTGTTGTTTTTTTTAAATTTATTTTTTCCTATAAATCAAATCCACCTCAAATCTGGGAAATCTATATTTATTAGCATCACGCACCTGTAAAAAAATGCAAAAGAATAATTTGAAAGAAATAAAACTTACCCAAATGCCCTTGAATCGTGCAGGGTCATTTTGGTCTTTTTATTATTAAACTTTTTGTATTTTTTTGATAATTGCGGATGCCACAACTTTAAGATTATTGAATTTCACAAAAAAAAAAAAAGGAAAAAAAAAAAAGCAATACGCCGTCATAAGCGGGACACAAGTATAGAATATGAAATATATTACACTATTTTCAATTCTAAAAAACTGAAGTAATATTTTCTGTAAATTGCCTATAATTATGGTTTATTTTTTTTACATTAATTTACTTGGTTCGTTTCCATGCAATCACAGTAGGCTTTTATATGGCGTCTGGAGGAGATTTGGTCACTTTTAGTATAAATTTATGCTTTCTACCTCACCCGAGCCGAGTGCTAGAATTCGGTATGAAACTTCTAAATTAAGGGTGTCTAGGAAATTTAATAAGCATCCTGGTCCAATCTCACATTCTGCTATTTTTCTTAGTATTAATAAGCATCCGGGCCCAATCTCGCAGTTTGCTATTTCACACGGTATTAATATTTGGTATGTACCTAACACGTATTTAAATATGAAAAAAGTTTATATAAGGTTGCAACTTTAAAATTGTAGAGTTATATATGCACCTTAAAAATCTATTGGAAACGTCGAGATATATGAATATCAAAAAATAAATAAAATTTTTAAGTCTCAAAAATAGTGCATATTGCAACACAATATCTAGACCGTCTATTTTAAATATTTTCATATGTTTATAAATTTATTTGATTTTAACTATTTTTTAAGTTTAAAATTTTCTAATTAGATATAAAAATAGATTTTTAGATAATTCTAAAAAAAAATTACAACAAAATTATATGTTACGATAAAATTTGGAAGTGTGTCTTAATTGGATTGTTTAAGGTTGCAACCGTATAGAAACCATACACACAGTAAGTATTGGCCCCTTAAAGTAGTTTACTTTGTTCCAATTTGTTTTTTCATAACATTGTTTAAAACTTTAAATTACCAAATTCTTTTATTTGGTGGAGTGCATTTTATCTTCATGAAGCCGAGAACCATGTTTCAAAAACCGGATCGGACATGTCATTTGGCCCTCTTAAAATGCAATCCAAATCGACGATTCAGAGATATGGACTAAGTGAACTCTGGCCCAAGAATTGACCACAAAATATTACATAAATAATTTTAATTAAAAATAAATAAATGGATGGGAGTTAGGTGATTGCATTGATTCAGGTCGTCCGATTTCCTGACAAACTTGTTCAATTTTTTGATGAAGCCGAACAAGTCCATAAGAATCGGTCGGTTTTCCAAATTCCAACTAGGGAAGAGGCTTGTTTACATTGATATCCGATTTGAATCGCCAATTTCTCATCCAGATCGGAAAATTTTGAAACATTGCAGGGAACAAAAGATAACCGCATTACCCCCTAATTTTCAAAATAACGTCCACGGGTATCTTGGTCTCCTGAGGAGAGCCTCTCACGAATTGAATGTCTCTCATTTATATTTTTTATTGTTTGTTAGGTTCTTTGAATCTCTTTTAACCTACATAACGCGTTTCCTGTAATAGGCCACTTTGTTGTTTATTATTTTTAATTTTCTAACACAGTAGTATGTGTAATTTAACATGTATAATGGAGCTTGACACTAGTTATACGACATTTGCCATGGAAAGTAGCCTCAATTTTTTTTATTTGTTTTCTTATGTTCTGCCAAATGTTTGGAAAATTAAATAATAAAACTGCTACATCAAGTCATTGGACTTCCAAAAAATGTGATAAGTGCATCACTAATGGACAAAACACCCTTGTCTTAGTGAGATCCACATATTGTAGGAGATAAGGGACAGTTGTTAGGGACTACCAATCTTATGACATGTATATTCTATTACTGTTATCCTAGTGAGAATGGTCACTTAAGGATATGAGTGTAAGTGGGCTCGGGTAGGCTGGGGCATCGGTAGGTTTGGGCCCGGCATTTTAAGTTAACATGCATTATTACAAACCCAACCAGGCCCGACAGGCCCCACGAAGGTTTCAAAATTCAAACAGGCTTGACATGCCCTACATAGATAACAAAGTAGCCCTATGACTAGATGGCCCGATTTATTCAGAGTGTTTGAAAATAAAATGTTTTATAAAAAGGATTGTATACACTGAGACCATTTACATTTGGTACAAGGAGATCACAATTACTTATAATCATCCGAAGTGAAATCTGATAGCTTGGGTGTATCACAAAATTTGAGAAAATTTATTTTGAACTTTGAGCTTGGTTAGTGGAATAAATGCAATCACTCAATTTCACATCTAACAGTGAAGATTAATTGTGACCAGCTTATACCAAAGGTAAATGGTCACATTGTATACTTTTTCTTTATATAATTAAAGGGGCTCTGTTAGATTTGGTGCTATCCAAAATCACCCATAAAAGAAAAATCTCATATTTTATGGGATTGATTGAGATTAATTTATATTATGTGTAATTGAAATATTTTCATATTATGTGGGATTGAGATATTCTCATATTTTATGAGATTGATATTGATAAGTTTCCTAAAAGAAATAGAAATTCAAAAAGATTAGGAATCTTGGATGTATCTCTTGGTTTATATATATATATATATATATAGGAAGTTTTCTATTTACTATGGACTCCTAATTTTATATATATATTTATGGAATGAAAGTACAGGGAATTTGTATACCCTATTTGGGTAACTATATGGGAATGGTGATTCCTCTAGAGAAAAAGGGAGCTAGAGCCTCATGTGCATAAGATGCAACTCCCTCTTAGAGAGAAGAAAGCTTCATTTTGAAAGAATAATTGTGATGGTGCCTCTTTTAAAGTACCAAAGATTGAGAGCCTTGTTTGTTTCTTGCAGAGAAAATGTTCCATAAAGATTTTGAGTTATTCTCCTTTTAGTTAGAATGAAAGTAAGTTTTTCGTTGCTCTCGCGTCTCTATTCAGTGTTGTTGGTAATGGTTGCCAGAAGTAAAGATAATGAATGAAGAGTTGTTTAAAAGGGTTTTCTCGATTTGGGATTTTTGTTGAGGTTTGTTCCAAAATCTTTGATGTAACTTTTATTGGTATAATAGATTTATGTTTGTCGTGCCCGTGGATGTAGCCCTCTTGGGTGAACCACATAAATCTTTGTATTCTTGTTGTATGTGTTCATACTTTATTTCTCATACTTTATTTGTCAAATATTAACCCATCGATTTCAGAGCTTCCGTGCATAACAAGTGGTATCAGAGCCTGGTTTAGGGTTTTTGGTAAGGCAATAAAAGTTTTGAATGCAAAGTTTGCAGTGGAGAAATTTCATGACATACATTATTTTTCAATAAGAATGATGAAGGAATTTATTTGGCAAAAAATAATTAATTCATGAAGCTATCCAATGGATATTATCATGGTGAACAAATGATTTTGATATCAAAG